ATGTGCGATGTTGGGTGTGTGACGTTGAGTGTGTGATGTTGGGTGTGCGGTGTTGAGTGTGTGACGTTAAGTGTGTGATGTGGAGGGAGGATGTGGCGGGTGTTGAGTGCGTGATGTTGAGTGTGTGATATTGAATGTGCGATGTTGGGTATGTGGTATTGAGTGTGTGATTTTGAGTGTGTGATGTTAAGGGTGTGATGTTGAGGGTGTGATGCTGAGTGTGTGATGTTGGGTGTGTGGCGTTGAGCGTGTGATGTTAAGTGTGTGATGCGGCGGGAGGATGTGGCGGGAGGATGTGGCGGGAGGAGGCGGCGGCGGGATGCAAGCAAAAAAATAAGAACTCCACGATAGACTCTTTGACTGCAAGATAGCCGTTGATACATTAAGTGCATGTGACTTGCCCTACAGCAGACGGTGCTACTCGGATCCAACAGATCAGCCAAGATATCCATGAAAACTGTGCGCCCAGTTGGGTCGGCCTTGGCGGCAGTCGTTGCGGAAGTGCGCGCCTGTTTCAATGTCATAGCCACAAATGCCGCTGACGCCGCCATAGGCACAGCGAGCTCTGATTCGCCGACTAAGTCCACATCCGTCAGGCGGATGCAGCTGGCATACATAGTGGCAAAGGTGACAGAAAACACAATCAGCCCTGGGCCTATAAGTCAAGGCACTCCAACAGCCCTCGATCGGCCTTCACGCCTTCCAGCAGGGCGTGACGCTTGCCAGCGTTCAGGCCGTCGTGGTTGGAGATAGCATGGCACGCCACGAATGTTGGGTTCAGAGCCAGCGTGGGGATGATCTGTGCCGCCTCTTTGATATTGTGCTCACAGGATCCGCATCAATGTGCTAAAGTCGCTGATAAGATCACGAGCCAAACGCTTGCCGGCTTCGTTTCATGCTTCTTCCAAGGTCTTCTCGACAGGCCCAAATACCACGTTCCGGTTGCTTCCCCCTGCAAATGTTTCCAGTATCGACATCTCCATACCACCTCAATCCCCTGTGATGCACCACTGTGGTCATTTCCACAATTTCCGACAAATAATCGCACAGCTTTGCACTCTGTTCAGCATCCAAAGCAACAGAAGAAAGCAATCCAGAAAACATACTTTTCAAAAGGCCGTGAAGGGATGGACCAATCCATTCCACCAATTGCGAATCCACTTTGACCTGAGTTCCATTGTTGTCACATATCTCCAGCCTCTTTCTTTTGTGTATCATCGGTAGATGTTCTGGAATCTTGCTTCGCCATCCTTCATGCTTTTCTTCTTCGGCTGCGTGCACAATCCATCTTCCCCTTTCCTTCTGGAACATTTATCCACAATGAACCTCTTGTAGGAAAAAGACATCTCTGCCCATGCCTTTGGCTGCCCAACACATGGTAGTCAAGACAAACGAGTCCTCATCTCTGTAACGAATCTTGACATCATAAGTTATATTCTCGGGCAATTTTACCTTTGCTTTCATTAGCCTTTTTGTTCCGCCACGAAGCAGATGCATTGCAAATGAAGAAAGCATCAATAGCACGAGCGCCAAGCGTGGCGCGCGGCTAAAAGAAGCTCGCTGTGGTTGCCACCCCAAACAGGCAGTCAACCATGCAACAAGTGGACTTACTGTGGCATGATGGAAGAGCTACTTACTGTTCAAAAGGTGAGCCGACACCTAGCAGGAAGCATCGAAACAACCAGCATTCTTTCTCAAGCCAAATGAAAACGGCGACACATGTTTATCGCTGTGTTGCATTCCTTCACGTAAGACACGAGGTGCTGCGCCCACACACTTCACCTGCAGCAGCTCAAAGAAAGTTCGAATACAGACAATAAGATACATTATTGCACCAAACCAAATGAAAGTCAGCAGAACCTATCCTGCAAATCACACTATTGAGTGTGTGATGTTGGGTGTGTGATGTTGGGTGCATTATTTTGAGGGTGTGATGTTGAGAGGTGTGATGTTGAGTGTGTGATGTTGGGGGGTAAGGGATCAAAAAATAAAAATAGAATCAAACAAATATTCAACGGGAATCAATAAAAAATAAAAAGGGAACCAACAAAAAATATTCTAGCCCACTGAGGATGGTTGGGCTAGTAGTAGTAGCAGTAGCAGTAGCAGTAGCAGGATTAGGAGACCAAGGGAAGAGGATGGAAGGAGAGGAGAGTGTACCTCCCTAGGAGCTCCTTCCTAGTAGGGAGCTATTTCTACTGGTGAACCATTTTTCGAGTAGGGCTACTCAATGACTGGACGGCTACCGTCATTGGGTACCTACTTTCCTCCCAGGGAGCTGCCTCTAGTAGAAAGCAATCAAGCCTCTATTTGTGCAAACAGGGGACCAGGAGACCGAAAGACGAGCGGAGTAGGAGAGCAAGAGACCAGCGGACCAGGAGACAGAAGGACCAGGATACCAGGGGACCAGCGGACCACAGGATCAGAGGACCAGGAGACCGGAGGACTAGGGGACCAGTGAACCAAAGGACCAAGGGACCAGGGGACCAACGGACAGTGGACCAAGGGACCAAGGGACCTTATTACCAGAGGACCCGCAGACCACAGGGCCAGGAGAGCAGCAGAAGGCAGAAGAGGCCTATCAAGGAATATATATATATATTTTTACAATTCGCTTTTTATTTTTATTTTGATCATCTTTTTATTTTTTTGATGCTCGTTTTATTTTTTTGATACCTATGCCGATGTTGGGTGTGTGGTGTTGAGTGTGTGATGTGGCGGGAAGATGTGGCGGGAGGAGGAGGAGGCGGCGGCGGCGGCGGGATGCAAGCAAAATAACAAGAACCCCACGATAGAATGTGGGGCCCAAAAAACAAATGGTTGTTCCAATTATTGAGGTCCGGCGCATTTGGAGAGGACACCTCCATTTGTTTCGGGTGGTCGGACTGGCTTTCCGTGCTTGGCTTTCCCATCAACTCCACGACGACCACTCCACCATGCAGCACAGCAGCCCATATATCCCAGTTCCTGCGTGTGAGGGGGCCAAGCTGGATGTCTGACCCCTTCAGCTTCCCTGGTGTTTGGTTCACCGAAGGATCTCGACCTGTTCGAAGGTGCCACGGTTAAAGGTCTCGAACGGCACATGGGGATTCACCCAAACCATTTCAGCTCCTGGGGCTCCTGACCCACCTCCTCAAAAGGTCAGGGACTGACCTGGTCACCACCCCAAGCACCGAGCTGAACATGGAGCCAGGAACGGAGCCCTATCACCAGCGCTGCACCCTTCTAGAAAAGACCCGGCTGGAAATGGGAGATGAAGAAAACCAAACACCAAGGCTGTACCTACCTGGACCATCCAATGGGAGATCTCTGAGTGATGAAGGCTAGTGCAGCCAGGTGACTGAAGCAGCTGGTATAAAGTAAATACATGCTTTCTTGGCCGAAACACGTGTTCAGAGTCGATCAGACCCATATGAGCCAAATAAATCGTCAGGCCCACTCGCCAGCGCCTCAGAAACATCTAGGTGTTTCTGGTGCCCTGTTTCTATCCCCTCAGAACTGCCAGTGGTTGGATATCACTGTCACCTTAAACCACGTAGTAACAGGTGTGACCACGTGACTCGAACCTTAAACCTTCCACTTCAAAGATTGCATTTTGAATGCTCCACATGCGCCAGCCACACATTAATGTCCGTGCTCCAGGATCACCTCGGGTGGTGCTCCCTCCAGTCCCGTCGCTTCCGTCGCCCGCGAAACGGCGCTCCTGCAGGGCGAAGGCCACCAGGAGCGTGGCGAAGAAGATGCCGAAGACCAAGGGGAGGGACCTGTATACCAGGGCAGAAGCGACTAGGAGCAAGGGCGCTCCTGGCCTTGCTACTAACAAGACGCTAGTAGGAACAAGTTGGGCATCGCCACTGGTGTTTTCGTTCGACAGAGATCCTCCCCAGACAAGGTCGGTGGGGAGAGGGTCGGTGTGGAGAAAAGGGTCGGGTTTTGTTCGATCAAACGGGGATGTTGCCCTTAAGGAACTGGACAACGAATTTCGGAACAAAGCGGAACAAACAAACAACACATCACCGCTGTAAAAGTGACATTTATATGGCTGTGTGGTTCAAGCTGTTTTTTTGCATGGATGGTGTTTGTTGATCTGTAAAACATCTCTTTCATGCAGGATTTGAATCATCCATGAGCTGTATGGACCGCAAATTTATCACATCTTTCTGAACATACATGCTCGGCGAAGAGACTCATGGCTCCTGGGACTTCTTTTGCTGACCCTCATGTACCCTGGAAGTCCAAGAGTATTTTGTATTGGTTGAGCTGTTCTTGCGGTGTAAAATCCGTAGTAAAACAATTGTGGTTCGTGGTTGGAAGCCTAAGTGGGGAGCCGGGCCGGGGAAATCCAGGCGTTCCACTTGCGCCAAGTTCCACGAGTTTCCAGAAAGAACAGACCTTCAAAAGTTCCTCAAAGGTGTTTCTCGGCGCTGGGCCAAGAACTCATCACGCTTGACATGGAGTTCCTGCATACTCCTGCACCCTCCAAACCGATCGCGTACGTTTTCCTCCGTGTTTTCGGGTAACTCCGTACGCTACGGTGCCCAGGTTCACCGCCCAAACAGCCGATCGCCAGGTTTCCTGGTATCGAATTCTCCAAGTCACTGGGCATCCGGTTTCCAAGCATCCAAAACACCTCACCGTCTCTGCCTCCCCCCAAAAAAAAAGCTCCTGGGGGTCTTGGGCTTCCAAGAGCAATGCGATTTGAATGGACTCAGCCGGGTATCGAATGCATCCGGTGCGTGTCCTCGCCCCGCTTGCCCAGCTTGAATCTGTCGTCCCAGGGGCAAGAACCAGGCGAGACCGTGTAGGATCCCTAGGACGCCGAAGAAGGGATAGGCATCTTGCGTGGACTCCAAGTAATAGTTGGTCCAAAACCTGGCAAGAACCGCCGGACAGGCGGACAGTTTGTGCACCGATTGAGCCTTCCAGGATGAACACAGTGGTCAAGCACAGGCGGGCAAAAGCTACAAACTGGTGAGGATCGAGCAAAACCACTGGGGCCGAATGCTCATCGAGCTGACAATTCTCTGCCTGATACGATTCTCCCAAACTCATCATGAAGTGTAGCGAGTGGTCGGTTCGATGGAGCTGGTAGGGTGTTCTTGGCCGTGCATGTTTCTTTCCAGCAAGAATCCACCTATTCCAGGATGAACGGGGTGTAGATCCCTCAGCGTGACCCTCGCTTTTGTAGTTTCAGTCCCAGGTATGTGTCAACGGGTCCGCGTCCTGGTCGAGAACAGGCCCAACCCCACCCACCATGGCCTTTTAAAGGATACTGAGCAATGTGGGTACGAGGTTTATGGCAAAGCTCAATCCAAACCCAGACGCGACCAGTCTGGGACTGCCATGGGACTGCCGATCACTTGGGGTGGTGCCAGGGGAGTCAATGGGGCGGCAGTCCTATGGCAGTCCCATGGAGTGTCTGGGTTTGGATTGAGAACCTTCATATTGGCGATTCGCCTTCCAAAGGGTCAAACTGTGAAAATATCCCTGTTTTAATACACAGTCGCTTTTTCAATCCAGTTTCACTTTCACAAATCATTGAAACCTTTGGCTCGGCTTGGGGCCATGCCATGGCTGCCATTCAGGTCACCATCAGCTTTTGTTTTCTTTGTCTTTTTTCTCTTTCCAAACAGCGAAGTGCCATGGAAAAGCCACGAGCCGCTCGGGTCTCCCCGACTTCGATCGGACGGCCAAAACAGGGCCCTCGCGCTGCGACCGTCTCACTCGCCGTTCGAGGACGAGGGGCCCTGGGAGGTAGCCGATCCAACCCCATAGGCTGAAGACGGCCGTCAAGGCCCCCAGCACCAGGGTCAATCTCCTGAGACAGAGATACTTTTTTCAAGCGCGGTCAGCTCAGCTGAGCTGTCAGCTATCTGGGATAGAAGAAAGTCTCCCATATATGCAGGTCGACCTCAAGTTTAAGTAAGAGTTGATCACAAAGAGACACTACTCAATAAGGTAAAGGACCAGGTTTGGTCTTTGGATCCGTAGGGTATTATGATCGACCCCAGCTCAAGCACCCCGATCGGTACATGTGCCAGTCCCATCAGTCGTGTCTGCGTGAGGCAAAGCCGGTTCAGACATGCCAGTTCGGCAGCGAACAGAAGCCGATCGGAGTGCAAGCATCAGGCTCAAGCTGAATCACATATAAGAGCAAACCTGCTGTTGAGACCAACAACTTGAAAAGGGGCAGGTATTCAATTGATAGTGGTGAAAGCGAAGAAACTACAGTAAGAAGTTGCACATGTGGAACTTTGGAGCAAGAATAAATCATCTGCTCGCTAGAATGGGGCACAGGCCACGGTCGAAACGTCAATGTGATACGTCCCCAAGGGACGCGTCGCCCACCGCTCCAGCGAACAGCACCGCCCAGTTCGGTTGGTTTATAGACACGGGCCCGGTCGCTTCGCCCTGGACCATGTACAGACTGCGGGGAAGCTATACGCTTCACGACAGACAGGGTGGAGGTGGAGGTGGAGGTGGAGGTGGAGGAGGAGGAGGAGGAGGTGGTGGTGGTGGTGGTGGTGGTGTGTGTGTGTTTGTTTGTTTGTTGTCCCGACCTCCAATATACCTAGACCCAGCAAGACCCCAATCGCTGGGTATGGTGCGAAGTAAGGTCCACTTCAAAGGTCGAGGCAAATGCCTCGAAAGCCAAGTTGCTCGAGCTTGAGGCGAAGGCGGTTTCCCTGCGAAGCAAGATCAAGGCGATCCGAAACATGTCGTATTACCTAATTTTCTTTTAATGGGACATTCTTGACTGCATGAGGTCTATAAGAAGCATATCGATATGATTCGATATGCACTGTGTCATGTCATCTGGCGCATGAAGGCTTCGCACCGTGCACATGGCGAGTCTGAAGGCTTTCGCACCGTGCACCACCGATCACCACCGGCTTTCGCATCCTGCGAGCGAGCTACGCACCGCGTCGAACTCGGCGCTGGGTCGCGCCTCCTTGGTGCACTCGATCTGGTGCTCCAGCAGATCCTTCACCTCCTTGCTCCCCAAGACCCAAGTCCTTGGGCCGCGCCGAGTGAGCAGGCGCGTCCGGCACGGTGAAACTCGGAAGAGCGCGCAGTGAGCGGAAAAGAGCGCGCAGTCGCTCGATCGTTTCCAATTTTGGATTTGATTTGCTACCTTCTTTGTGGGTCAATCCGTTCCTTCTTCCAGGTTCCAAAGCAAATGATAAAGTTCACACAGATCCCGCAAGCAAAGCCAGGTCCGGTGAAACGACACCCATCGTGGAGGGTCCTGAAGAATCCTGAAGATGATGCATTCTTCCTGTGCTGTGGCACTGGTAGGTAGACATTGTGTTCTCTCTGAGGTTCAGAATTCGATTGGGGACCATTTCAGACAAGCTAAGTTGTTGACACAGAGGCGAACTCGGACGCATCACGATGAACATCCGAAGTGCACAAAACTCTCAAAGTGCATCTTTTTGCGTCAGAACTTGGATTGGCAATCAAGAATTTCTTGCCAAGTCTGACATTCCGATGCTCTTCCAACAGAGGTTGAAGGAGCCTATAGCTATATCCCAGTCTGCTACCGCAGGTGACGGGTCCTATAAGGTCACTGAACCTCTCTTGGTTCGATCATCTTCAAACAAACACACGCACTTGAGTCGGTGTGCGCCCACAGCTCGAAGGCGGAAGGCAGTCCACACCATGGTCTGGCCCCGACAGGGGCAGGTCAGGCTTGTCCTTCCCATGTTAGGAAGTACGAACAGTCAGCGGTCGAACCAGGTCGTTGCAAACTCGGATAGGCCGCCGATCACAAAAACACTTGATGTCATCGAGCCCCCTCCTGCGGACCTGGTTCGAACATCTGAGCGCAAGGCCAGTTTGGGGTGGTCCAACTCCCACCACACTGAGATCGATACCCCTGATGTCCAAAGAAGGAAAATCAAAACAAACAGAGTAACTCCGAACACAAGAACGAACCAACCGAACAACCGCAGCTAAAGTCTGAGAAGATTTCAAACAGCCACCACTGGACTTCGAGGGTACCCACTGACCTTTATGGGTGCCAGGGACCGGAAGGTCACCATCAAACCATCGTTGGCACCAAAAAGCTAACTCCAGCCATGAAACTGCACAGGGTGGCTGGGCTTCATCCGAGTGTTCAAGCAACAGACGGATCAGCTGGATGCCAAAGTGTCCAAAACTAAAAGAAAGCTCATTCGTGTGAGCCACCACGCTCCAGTTTGATGGAAGTGCTTCTGGAAACGTGTCCACATCTAAAGTATGGCGGGGAAAGTCAACAGGTGTGACCTCTGCAACCGCCTCTGCCTCTCTCAGTGCTGCCTTGTGCAGCTGGGTCAGTCGTTGCCACTCACTGCCAATGTCACAGTGCAGCTCTTGCAAAGCACGAAGCGTGTGCAGTTCAGCATTCTGGAAACGAACTAAATCAAACCACAAGCCACGCACCTCTTCACTGTAGCACGAATAAGCTGCTGCAGCAGCCCTGTCTGCCAGCTGATTCCAGTGTGCAGCCCACGCTTGTACCACCCCTTCACAGTCCTTCTCATCACAATGAGCAGGAATGTGTCGAACCACAAAAGGATGTTGGAGCTGTTGCAAGAGACAATCACCAATTTCCCACAGATCACTATTCGAATCATATGGGGAGTCATGAGCCCAAGCCTGCAGTCTCCAAATCCCTACTGCAGTGTAGGCACTGTCGGTCCAGCAAGCTGTTGGTCCATCATGCTGCTGTGCCCACGAAAGCGCGCCCAACAACGCAACCAACTCAGCCCTGTCACTAGAGTGACAGAAACCAGGAACAGTACCTGCAGAGAGGGTCATTTCATGAGTGCTCGAAACAATGGCCCATGTAGAAAGTCCACATTCAGGCATATCCGGGCACATGCAAGAGCCATCCGTGAACAGATCAACCCAGCCATCAACAGGAACAGTACTTTCAAAGCGAAATCTTGGGCAACCAAGGGGACCAAGCGCACGTTGATACTTGCTCCAGCCAGGAAACTTGTTTGGCAGCAGCCGGTGACGTTGAGCCACCGCCATCTCCTGCCATCTAGCTCGAATGGCAGCATGTTTTTGATGAACAGGTGTTAACTGTGTGCACACCATGCAGCGATGATCCAAGTCATCAGGTACTTGGCAGAATGGGCACACGGCTGCGGTGAGGTTGTCATACTTTGACTGTTGCACCGCTGTACAGAAAGCACCCTCTTGAAGAGATGCCACCTGAGCTTGCTGTCTACCCGTCAGCTGTCGTTGTGCTCTTCGAATGACAACCCAGTTGATCTGCTTCAACCCAGCATAGTCTTTTCTATTGCACACTTCACCCGAGACCCAGTCCATCCATGCATCCTCAAGCTGTAGCAGTAATTGAGGCTCTGGTACACTGAGCAAGTCAATCTCAACTCCATGATGATTGCAAACTATTGGAGGCATGACCACTCTCCACCCTAGAGGCTCCAGAACTTCCAGCAACTTGGAAAAAGGACCTGCCCTGAGCACCCCGTCAAAGCCTTTGAAGTGTTGCGCCCATAGGTCTAGAACCATTTCCTGTTTAGCTGCCATCCGACGGAAGTCAGTCACAACTCGAACTGTCTGGTAAAATCCAGGGTCAGCCTTTACCGGGGCTATGAGGGACATACGAATCAAAGGAGATGCTCCTGCTCCACCATGTGCCAATGCCTTAACTGCTGCAGTACGAAGAGAAGCGATATGTGAAGGACCTAGCAGGCACACCGTCACTCCATGCAAAGCCCTAGGCCAGAAGGCCTGTTGAAGCACCATGTACTTGAGACGGTCATCTGCCCCCAGTTTTCGCAGTCTTACCCACAAGTCATTCAGTGAGTTCAGTCTGGCACGTTGCACCTCAATCCTGCGAGCTCCGGTGTAGCTGTGCTGAACTCCAAGATCTCCTGCACTCGTTTTCACATCCAGGCCCATGATCTCCAAGGCACTTTTGTCACTGGCTCTGGTAGACCAAGTCCAAGATTTTCGAAGATCCATATCAAGGGTCCAAAGATGTAGGAATTCTTGAAGCACAATTTGACCACGCTGCAGGTGAGCCACCTCCATGCTCAACAAGCCCAGGTTATCAACGAAAGACAGCGGAACAGTCTCAGGAGCAAAGTGGTGCGTGTAAAAATGAAAGCATAGGTCAATGATGCCCATGGCATAACAGCTCATCGCACAGCCTTCTGGAACTCCAGAGGTTGAGTCTAGTGGCGGTCCAACTTCGCCTCTAACAACAAACCTCCTGACCATGCCCTGCAAGAACTGATCCCATGCTTGAATGATCTCACGGGGAGCACCAATATGCATTGCCAGTTTGAAAACAGGAAGCCGTGGGATGTTCTCAAAGGCCTTCTGGATGTCGGTGACCAAACCTTGCATGTCGGTGTTTGATCCCACACACAGCTCAATCAGTCCTTGAACCAGGAACGAAATTTGCAGCGCTTCTCTGCCAGGAAGAAATCCCAGTTGAGTGTCAGCAGCCATGTCAGCAAGGTGTGCAAGGAGCGGTCTCGCCCGAGCTGTAGACCAACTGCGATATATGGCCGAGAAGACAATGATGGGTCTAAAGTGAGCTACTTCAGAAGCTGTTGCCGTCTTAGCCAAACATGCCACAAATCCGGTTAATAGCTGAGAAGGCCATTGAATCTGCTCGAGCTCAACTGCTCGCAACAATTCCAGCAGCGTAGTCTGAAAGCCTGCTGGGGCATGTTGGAGATCTCTGCCATGGAACCCATCCGGTCCCCGAGCTGCTCTGTCATTGTATCGTGCATTCACGTGCTGCCATGCATGTAATGAGATGGCCTCATAGGCAAGCTGTCGTCTAGGCAAGAAGGCCTTGCCAAATGACAAAATTCGTTGCCAGTCGCCTTCTTGGGTCGCTGCATGTTTGCGCCAGCGAGCTGACCAGAACTCCATCAAAACTTTCTGAATTGTGTCAACTTGCGTACAGAAACTATGGCGTTCAATGCACTGATCTGGCTGCAACAAACAGTCAGCATCCACGACACGGAATACATCCGCTTCCTTTCTCTCAAGCTGAATTTCAGCCATGCCATCAACCAGCCACAACTGACTGTCATGCACCCCAGTACCTATGGCTTTTTCCAGATGAAGTTCACTACCATCCGGTGACACCGCCATGATGGTCGTTTCCTCCGTGGTGGCCAGAGAGTCCAGATAGTCCTTCTGATGCAAGCGAACACGCTGAAACACTCTTTCTTTGTGAGCAGCAAGTTGAGCTCGTGAGATTTCTTGTTGGCGCTTGAGCTGCCAGCTCTCAAAGCGACGAAAGTTGCAGTTGAAATCAGCAAACAAACGCTCTGCAATGTCCAGTGTTGGGACACCCACCGGAAGGAATGCAGGCGTCCCCTGAAGTTGCACCCGTCTGCCAAGCCACCAGCTGCGAAACCCATTTTGGAAACCTGATGCATTGCAGATGGCAACCCAGGTCTCAAGCCTGTGTGCCTGCGCAGAGCCAGAACAATTGCCTGACCGCAGACTTTGAACCAAAGCCTGTAATCTTCGTAATTGTCGAAACCATAAGTGCACACCACGCCCTGCAAAGTCCGACAGCAAACGCTCCTCTCCATGTCTGGCAGGTTTACTCAACGGTGCTTGAGGCTGTCGGAGCACAGGTTTATGCACACTGCCCCGCCCTTTGGACCCTGGGTGGAGACCATCTGCGGAAGAGGAGACAAAGCCATGCAGACTGTCCTCAAAGGATTTTGCCCAAAGCTCAAATCTCTGAGTGCCATCAAGATTCTCGACAGGCATTCCACTGATACTGGCAAACTGTGTCTGCCATCTCTTGACATCTACTGCAGCCCAATCAATGGCTCTGGGAAGTGGCCAAATCCAATGAGGAATATTGTGTCTTGGACATTGAAATGTTCCCCAAACCACCGAGTGGTCAGAAAAGGAATCCTCAACTGATGCAGAAGTGAATCGAGCTGCAAGTTCTGGGCTGACAAAAATCATGTCACGTTTGGTCTTACCCTTGCAGGTCATTCGTATGGGTTCACAATGC